CCAACCCAAACCATTCTGTGATTCTGTATCTCTCAGAAAGAACCAGAGAAACTGCAAAGAGATCATTCTGTCCCTTTTCAATTGTACCCTCTTGTTGATTTAAACCAAGACTGAATTTTACTTTTTTTTGTGATGGATTCAAATAATTAAAAAAAAAAAAATCCAGCAGCTCTATTTTTCTAAACTCAGAATTCATCATCTGAGAGCCCACTGAGACAACTGCTCTCTACCATAGAAAGACACCACGCTGCAAAAGAATCATTTTAAACAATTTCTAGGAAAAAAATTAACTACTTGAAGTGTTGGGAAGTGGGACAAGCCTGGCTGCTCATGCTTCAAAAAGCACTTGCCAAAAATGTGGGGGTGAACCAACATTGCTGACGCCTTATTCCACGGGCCTGCCAAGGGCAGGCGGCGAGTCCCGCCGGGACCCTGCCTCGGGGCTCGGCTCGGTGTGTTTTGTTGTAGAGAGGCACAAATGCAACAAGTTTCCTCCATCCTGGGGAGCCTGCGGGCAGGGGGGCTGTGCTGAACCCCAGCCTTTCCTCGGGCTTCGCATCTCCGGCGGTAGCTCACGCTTCCCATGGTGGCATGGTCGTCCCCACTGTCATCTCTTCCCTGACCTCAAATAAAAGGCCAGGTACCTGGGGGAGCATTTCTGCTGCTGTCAGCCCAGCTCAACAAACTGAGGAGTAAAGGAGTCAAACAACTCCATCCGACCCATTTTATTTACTATGGCTGTCACCTGGCCCTTGTGGGAATTGCCTCTGCGGCTCCAGCCAGGGAACAGCACCCGTGTCCTGGAGCTGGTGACAGAGATGGAATCCCAGCACAGCAGGGGTTGGAAGGGACCTCTATGGGTCATCTAGTCCAACCCCCCTGCTGAAGCAGGGTCACCTAGAGCAGGCTGCACAGCACCGCGTCCAGGCGGGTCTTGAATATCTCCAGAGAAGGAGACTCCACAACCTCCCTGGGCAGCCTGTTCCAGTGCTCCATCACCCTCAGAGTGAAGAAGTTCTTCCTCGTGTTCAGCTGGAACTTCCTCTGCTTCAGTTTGTGAACTGGAGTCACTGCGGTGACAGCCACCTGAGTGCGGAAGAGGTTACTTTTAAAAAACAATTTATTCTGCTGTTGCTACCACGAGGCCAGGAAATTCACACCAGCGGTCATCTTGGGGAGGTGTCTCTCCTGAGCTGGCCCTTTGGCTGCCCAGTTCGGTCCAGCATCTCCTGAGCTCCATCCCACCCTGCCAGGACCAACACACAGGTCCCATCATCCTTACTCCCACACAGGAGCATCAGCAGTTTCTTGTGCAGCTGGAAAGCAAGCGCAGGCTTGAAGACCCGCGTGCACCTGCCCACGGAAATAATTGGTGTATAAAAAGAAAACCACATTTTAATGCAACCTTACGTGGGATTTGCAGCTTCCTCTGAGCGTGAGGTGGAAGCAAGGCTTTGCAGCACTAGCTGTTGTGGTCGGTCCTGACAGCCAGCCTGCTCGTCTCAGATACAGTTCCCTTTCCATGCCAAAGGCAAAATCATGTTTAATGTCATGTTAGCTTATTGTTTTAACGTGATATGTCCCAGTGAGGACGCAGTTCAACTGTTTTAGTGAGTGTGTGTGAAATAACACGGGTTTTTAGCAGGGGACCTGGGAGGTTTTGCTTCCCTTCTTGCTGTCAGCTGGTGCTGCGTGAGCAGGGTGGGGTACGGCCGCGCAGCCCTCCCGGGCTTTACGTTTATTTTCCTAAAGATTGATCCATACCTTGGTGTTCCTGAAGGATGAGTGAAGAAGATCCAGGACTTGGGAATTTACTCAGTTTAAGTATTGGTTCAAAGTCTCTGCGCAACAACGTGGTGGGAGATCACGGAATCACAGAATCACACAGAATCACAGAATGGTAGGGGTTGGAAGGGACCTCTGTGGGTCACAG